GGACATCCCTCTGGGACCTACCAAGTTAAAATGGGATATCACTCAACAAAAGAGGAGAACTTTACAACTACAAACCAAGGGCAACTATCATAGTTCAAGTGGAAGGCAGAGATATGGCAAAGCAACATTTCCCCAAAACTAAAAACCTTCATGTGGAAAATTCTGAATGGGGCGTTACATGTTGGAGCACAATTGGCCTCCAGAGGGATTATCGAACAATCCCGCTGCATTAACTGCGAAGAACTTGAGACAACTGCCCACCTTTTCCTCCACTGCCAGTACGCCCAGGAAGTTTGGAGATTAGCCCCTCTGAAGACACCTTTCAACCCCCTCAACTACACAGATATGGCAAGCGGAATTCAAGCCTCCAAACAAATGGTATGCTTACCGCCAACTAGGATCACCTCTGGCCCAATCCTCCCGTGGATTTGTTGGCAACTATGGTTGGCCCGAAACAATAAGATCTTCTCGGATCGCTACTCCTCAGCCGCAAATCCCATCAATAAATCGATGCAGTACGCGCGCGAATGGAACTTGGCTCAGACAAGAGAGATCAAACCCACCTTTACTCCCACGACGAAAGAATTGAACCGTCAGAAACGTCCCTCCGATGCTTCTCCGATGCAGCTTGGAGGAAGGAAGCAGGAGCCGCAGGTTTTGGATGGGTTTTCAAGGACAACGCAGATCGAACTTTCGCACAAGGAGGAAAAGCCCTGAACCACATCAAATCGCCACTGATGGCTGAAGCAATTGCAGTCCAAGAAGCTCTCCTGCAGGCTAAAAATCGGAAGCTGAATCGGTTCCAGATGCTCTCCGACTCTCAAACGCTCATCAATCTCATAAACAATAAGGGGAGGAACATCGAAATCCATGGAATACTCCAAGACATTCAATCGCTATCCCTAGATCTACAAGTTCTCTCCTTTACTTTTGTTAAAAGAGATCAAAATTCCGAAGCCGATATGTTAGCAAAATCAGCGTTACTATCTGTACCAACCTTTAATTCCGGCTTGCACCCAATTTAATTTCAATATAAGTTGTGTCTTATTATCGATTTATTTATTTTGTCACCAAATGTTGCTTCTGAAGGTTACATATATGTGTGCTATAACGGATGTC